AGTATTTGCCACTCAATTCAAACATCTCTTCCTTGAAAGGAAGTTCCTTGACCTGCTTTCATCACCCGTGACTACGTAGGGTGGTCATATTGATTTATTCCATATATTATTTCTAAGATCTTATATTTGTAATTAATGTTTTGTTCTAGTTGTTTAATATCTTTTTCCATAGAGAGAGTTGGGCTCTGTGAAGGCTGGGAGTCCACCCCTCTTGCACTGCTGCATCCTCACTATGTACTATGATGCCTTGGATGGCATTGACATTCACAGCATCTTTGAATGGGTGAAGAATAATTCTAGAGTATCAGAGCAAAGCCAGAGCCTAACAGGAAAATATGATAAACAAGCCTCTTCTCACCCACGTGGGCATTTCTGTTCCTTCTTCCAGTGACTTCCCTAAAACAAACTAAAAGTTTTACTTTTTCAAGGGGGCAGGACACAGAACTCTTTCAGAAACCAATGTAAACCATAGAAGGCAGAGATGCAAATGCTTCTACATTTTGTCATGTAATTTTAGTGGTTTCATGGATTTCCCTAAAGCTCTTCAACTTGACCCACCTCACTTAAGGATCCACTCTGCAGGATTGTTTTTTCTGACCCTTATTCCATTGACAATTTTTGGTAACATTTTTCTGATTTTTTCCCCCGTTGTTTCTAGACTGGGCTATTGTGTTTTATGAACATTTTCAAACGTACAGAAAAGTTGTAAGAAGTAATACTTTTGGACATCCAAACGCCCAGCATTCCACCATTCATATTCTACAGTTAGCCTTTTACCATACTTCTCTCTTTCTTTGCTTTTTTGAAACAGTACCTTGCTCTTTGATCCAAGCTAGATTGCAGTGGGGTGATCACAGCTCACTGTAGTCTTGACCTCCTGGGCTCAAGTGATCCTCCTACCTTAGCCTCTTGAGTAGCTAAGACTACAGGCCTGTGCCACCAACCCTGGCTAATTTTTTTTTTTTTTTTTTTTTTTTAATTTTTAGTAAAGACAGAGTGCCACCAAGTTGCCCAGACTGGTCCTGAACTCCTGGGCTCAAGAGATTCTCCTGCCTTGGCCTCCCCAAATGCTGGTTACAGGCATTAGGCACCTATCTACCATATTTTCTTTATCACATAACTATCCATCTATCTATCCATCCTTTTTTATTTAGTGCATTTGAGTAAGTTGCCAACATCATTACACTTTCCTCCATATACTTCAGCTTGTATGGCATTAACTACAGTTCAATATTGTTTACAGTACTCTTTTTTGAGATAGAAATGTATATACAATAAAATACACAAATCTTACATGTAACATTTGATGAATTTTGACAAATATATACACCTGTGTAACTCAAACTTACCAAGATCTAGACCATTGCCATCACCCCAGAAAGTTTACTCAGGTTCTTTCCTAGTACTTTTTGTTTACTGGTTTATGTGATTATAATTTACTATGTTATGTTTATATTACAATGATCCCTTAAGTTTATACTGTTTGATCAGCATTGCCTCTGTCTTTAGATGAGGTCTGATGAGAGATCCAAGGTCCTTAAGAATTGTCCCAGCCCTAAAACAAAGAAGATGCAGTAGGAGTCAGTAACAAAGTCACCAGCCCTGGTGGTTGTGTTGATGGTGGTCTCTAAGCCTTTGTGAGGAAAAGGAGGTGTAGGAATACTGACTAGGCTGACAGAAGTGGGGGTCTTATTAATCCCTTGTGTTCACAGGGGTCCTACAGGTTATTTTTTAGGTGAACAAGCTTATTAGATGTTTTACTACCGCACAACTTACTCAGTTACTCTCTGAAGTGAGATAAGGAAATGAAGATTATATTAACTGAGGAAGAACAATAGTCACACATCTTAGAATAAGCATAGTGGTGGAGAGAGGGTAGGCACAGCAATTTAGAGCCTTTTGTCACCAGTTGGTGATATTTGTGGAGTCACGGACCCCTGGGAGGTGGAGGAAGTGGAGAATATCCAGTGGGAAGAAGAAATCTAAAACTTAATCTGTTTTCATAGAAGTCTTGTGATGTGTATATAGTGATTATATTACTGGAAGGAGGGCCTTGAGTAAGTTGTCCAGGTTCTTGGCATTTTGAACAAATTGGACAAAATGCACAAAATAACAAAGGAGTGAAACACAGGAAAGAAGCAGCAAAAGCAGGAATTTATTAAGGCGAGAAAGCGCTCTATGGGGTGGAAGTGGGCCTGAGCAAGTGGCTCAAAGTCCTGTTACAAAGTTTTCTGAGTTTTAAGTACTTCTTTTGAGGTTCCTATCAGTTACCCCTTATCTGGATGAAGGATTTGGTCCAAGCCTAATTAAAGGCTGAGGTGAATTGGCACCATGTGCAGGTGAAGGGATGGTCCCTGGTTGGCCGATCCAGGGTATTTTCCTTTCCATCTGAGGTGTGATGGGGGTGGGGGGATTGTAGGGAGCGTAGCCTTTGATCCTTTGTTACTCCATGTTGGGAGATGGGGGTTTTCCTTTTGGTTTAGCTTTAGGAAGTTTGTGTTAATTGGCCTTACAGTCCCTGCCCCCAGACCCAGGTGTTTTCCTTTTGATCCAGCTATGGGAAGTAGGAGAACCGGCCTCAGGTTCCCTGCCTCCAGACCTTGGTGTTTTTCTTGATTCAGCAGGAATTAGCCTTAAGTTTCCTGCCTCCAGACCCTATTCTCCTGCCTCAATTATAGCATACGAAGTGTCTCTGATATAATAAAAGCTACCTCAGAGGCAATTGATCTTTTCATTAGCTTTATATGGGTTGAAGATGGCGGTAACTTATAAAATGATGTAATTTGTAGTCTGAGAAATAAATGTAACTAGATACTATGACTTTCATGTTGAACCGGAAATACAAAGTCAGTGTTTTAGTAATACCCATGTAGTAGAACCATCATTGTCAAAACAACTTTCTTGTAGTTAAATCATAATATTTTTGCAGATGCACTAGCAGATTTTCATAACTATGACCATTATCTAAAAATATAATACGTTGATAACTTGGCACAGGCCTTTATTTTAGTGGATTTGTTATTTTTAATTGCCTGGGTTTTTTTTTTTTTTTTTTTTTTTTTTTTTTGCTTATTTATTTATTGAGACAGAGTCTTGTTCTGTTGCCTAGGCTGGAGTGCACTGGCACAATCTCGGCTCGCTTCAACCTCCACCTCTCAGGTTTAAGTGATTCTCATGCTTCGGCCTCCTGAGTAGCTGGGATTTCAGGGGTGTGCCACCATGCCCAGCTAATTTTTTTGTATTTTTAGTAGACTCAGGGTTTTGCTGTGTTGGCTGGGCTGGTCTTGAACTCCTGACCTCAAGTGATCTGTCCACCTCTGCCTGCCAAAGTGCTGGGATTATAGGTGTGATTCACTGCACCCGGCCTTGGTGGTTTATTTTTAAGCATTTATGTATTCATCATTGTTAGTATCTCCTACTAAAAGATTTGCCTTTTTTGTGTGTACTTATTACCATAATGTAGCAGTTGTAACCAATGCACTGCTTCCCAAAACTTCTGGTAATTATAGATAATGTTCTAGATTGGTCCCTCCTCTTTTTTCCTTGTGTGATTCCCTATAGTACAGAGTTAAAAATCAATCAACTAGGGAGACTGCAAGTCTGGTATTTTGCAAAGTAAGCCTTTATGCACTTGGCGTGATCTCTCTGTGTAGCACAAAATCAACATGTAAAAGTTGTATTTGAGATTTATTGAGTACTTTTTCATATGTTTTACATTTACTTTTCAATCCTCCCAATAACCGTATGAGATAGATGCTATTGTTGTCTTCAACTTACATCTAAACCCAGAGGTTGGGTAATGGTAACTTACTCTCATATAGCGTATCAGTGATAGAGCTTGAGCTCAAATACATTTTCGTTCTTAACTACTGCACCAAAGACTTCTTATTCTGTCTAATGGAAGCTGCATTGGGTTAAGTACCACCAATAGTAATACTAGCTCTAATTTGAGGAGGATAATCCAAATCCTTAGACACGGGTTGTGTCTTGTCACTTTCTCAAAGCAGGTTATGCTATGACCTCTCCAAGGGTCTCAGAGGGTCCGCTCACCATTCACTTAGCATAAGTAAGCAGTGGCTTTGAATTTTTAGTATCTTGCTATAGTGGTTTTAGGTTGTAAGCTAGGTCCTAATCAACACATCCTGTTAAGTGTTGCCTCCATCTCACCTTTGGACACAGCTTTTTTTTTTTTTTTTCCTTTGAGACAAAGTCTCGCTCTGTCCCCAGGCTGGAATGCGATGGTGTGATCTTAGCTCACTGCAGCCTCTGCCTCCTGGGTTCAAGTGATTCCCCTGCCTCAGCCTCCTGAGTAGCTGGGATTACAGGTGCCCGCCACTATGCCCAGCTAATTTTTGTATTTTTAGTAGAGGTGGGGTTTCACCATGTTGGCCAGGCTGGTCTCGAACTCATGACCTCAGGTGATCCACTCGCCTCGACCTCCCAAAGTGCTGGGATTACAGGCATGAGCCACCATGCTCGGCCTGGACACAGTTTAATTGTCATCAGATATTTTACTGTGTTCCTATGGTAAATTACTATAATTGGAGGAGGAATGTTGGTTGCAAACAATGTATTGCAATCATTTTGCTTTCCAAGTATACATTTTCCTACTCTAAGAACTTAAGTTTGCAACTTCACATTTTAAGATATGTATGAAATTTTGACTGGAAGATAGCTTTATTTATCTTATGCTCATGTATTACTTTATGTAATTTTAAGTCCTTAAATATTATCAAATAGCACAGTTCTAGTAATAGAGAAAATGTAAATGTTATTCGTCTACTAGCCCTCCTATTCGTGTTTAAACTTTTAGGTTTTAGGAGGAGTTCATAGTTAATAAGCCAAATAATGTTATTCCTGGACAGTGTTTTTAACGCTTCTCATTAGCCAATGAGTAATAAATGCACCCAGTTTTGAAAAGTATATTGCCAGAGTTGGATTGTTAATGTAGAGCAACCATTTCCCTAATCATCTGTGTTTTTTGTTATGTTCTTACACAGAAGAAAGAACCTTCTAAATCCAGCATCAAGAAAAAAGTGACCAAAGTTGCAGAAGCAAAAAAAGTAATGAAGAGAAATTTCAAAGTGAATAAGAAGATAACATTTACTGATGAAGGGGAGGTAAGATTTTAGAAGTATTTCGTTTCTGAGGTACATTTGGAGTATTAGGAGAGATTGGCTCTCTTGCTTACTTACCACTCATTAATGATAGAGTAAATGTTTCTCTACAGCATGCTGGGCCGTTCCTTTCACTGTTACTGTAGGCTGTACATCAGCTCTACTGCTGTGAACAAGGATGCCTTACTGGCAATGAACCGAGATACTTCTTGGTAATACTGACACAGAGTTGATTTTGAACTTTCTAAATTATGTTTTTATTAAAGATAAGGTTTTCTCTTCATGATATTGAACATTATGTTCTATGGAACAGACATGAGAATACTAATACAGCTACGTACCACAGCTGCTTTTGCTTCACTCAGGCCTCTGCTTTGCACGTCCTCCATTTTAAATGCTGTACTTGTATATATCTTGCTGGGCTGGCTATGGGAGGGAATTCTCTGCTTTATAAAGTAACCTAAGACACAGAGGTGCCTTGTTTAATCTCAACTTTCCCTAAGCCATATTGTAAATACATACCCATAGTATAGGGAAGGGGCTACCACTCACAGATTACTCATGAAAGTTCATGCTATTACATAACTGTTGTCTTCATTTTAAAATGATGAAATAGAGCCAGTATGTCAAGTGACTTACCTGAGGAGTGGTTATAGTAGGTAGGGTCTTTTGAATATCATCTCATGGCCTCATTCTCACCAGCCCAGGTTTTCCTGACTATCCTCATGTAGCACAGAGCACCCTACCTCCATCATAACCTCATTTCTCTCACCTTGCCTCACTTTTCTTCACAGCACTTACTTTATGACTTCAATCTATATTTGACTATTGTCAGTTTCCACTCCATTTCTTCTTGCGAGGAAGGTATTTTGTTGATTTTGTTCACTAGTCTATCCCCAGCACCTAGAAAGATACCTAATGTAATAAACCCTCAGAAAAATTTATTGATTGAATGAAACATCTATTTCAATAAAAGAACAGCTTTTCATATTAACTAATATAGCACATTATATATTCATCGTCACTAACATAAAGACTGCTTAAGCAGCCTCTCCCCAATGGAGTATGTTTCCTTTTAATTTTGAAGTTAAAGTTTTGGATGTTATTTTGGGGCATATAAATCACATGAAAAGTAACAAAATAGTGTGTCATTCAAAGGTGGTGGAAGTTGAAGAGGAAGCTTATCTAAATGACAGATAATGAGTCTTTATGAAATTACGAAAAAGAGGTCAGCACCTGAGAAACAGACTAAACTAGAATAGTCATATGACATCTGATGTTCACTGTAAAATGAGATGAGTGCTGTTGGCGTAATGAGGTTCCTTAGTATGCTACTAAGTTTAACTGCACAAATTATGCCACTTAGCTCCAAAACGAATGTAAATCCTCAAGTATAAAATGTTTCAGTGTGTGCTTAGTGCTAATAGGAGATGTTTGTGGATGTGAGCCATACTGAAACTTCTGACTTAATGCTCTGAAAGAAATGCCACTGTTTTTTTTTTTTTCTAGCTCATAGAAGGATAAACTTTTTGCCCTCTGATTGCAGTGGGGATGAGGAGCCAAGTATCATGATATTCATACTATTACAACTGATCCCTCACATTGCCTCTTTAGGGTCAGTGACTGCTAGCATGGCTGCTCAGTGATATTTATCAATCCCATTGGTTGCTAAAGGTTGAGACTCCATAGGAATCTCATCTTGAAGAATGGTTATGGTGGCCACAGAGGAGAGAGGAGACAATAAAACCTGCGATGTGTGTGCTTGCAGTTTCCATTTGTTGGCAGGTTAATTAGCAGTCTTTCAAAACAATGGCAGTTATTTAAATCTTTCGGGCAACTAATTATTAGTTAAAATAAGAGTTATTTTTGTCTGAATTGTCTATAGAGTTTTGTGGTGTTAGACTTAGAAATTACTGAGTTAAATAAACCTCTATTTTTCCAGAAGGGACATAGATATCTGGAGATTAATTTATTTAGCATTATGTAGTAATGAAAAAGCCAGGACATTTAGCCAGGTCCCCTCATTCCCAGATCAGTGCCCCATCTTCTAGGTCACCTTGTTCCTTACCCTAAACTGTTTGTGTAAAATCATGTGGGTTTGAGCAAGCCTGTGAAACCCAAACTGTTTTTCTCCTTTTCAGTTAGTTATTTCAGTCATTATATGTATTGTCAGTTGATATGTGATTCATTGATCCATTTTGAGCACCTGTTTAATACGCGCCAGATACTATGTTGGGCTCCAAGGATAAATAAACAACACATACAACTGCCCTCAAGGAGATTAATGCTAGTGAGAGAAACAGGATCGTAAAACAATGCGGTGCAATGAACTTTGTGTGAGAGTAACACACTGAGTGCCATGGAAGCCCAAAGGAGGTACAGCCTGAGTCCTACTCAGCCCGACTCCTGCTGTGTGCAGATAATTTTGAGCTGAGTTGTGTGGAGAATAGGATACTAAGAATGCTGTTTGGGAAGATGCTGGAGCATCACTAGTCTGTGACTGTCTTCTCCAAATTATTTGGTGAAATTTTCTTTTAATCCTGTTCTCATTGGGTTTGGCAGTGTTACTTTACTCTGACTAGGGCGGTCTCTTCCGTGGCTTGAAGTTGGTTAAAAGATTTAAGAATACAGATTGTAAGGCAGAAAGTGGGTGTCTGCACCTTTTCGGAATCATCAGACAAAATGAAGTGCTTTTCTGGGGTGTCCCCTACTTCTTGCTGACACTGACCTTTTTTCTGCCTGTAGTTGGTTCAGCAGTGGCCACAGATGCAGAAATCTGCCATCAAGGATGCTGAGGAAGATGATGACACCGGTGGTATCAACTTAGATAAAGCAAAGGAAAGACTTGAGGAAGAGGACAAATTTGACAAAGAAGAATATAGAAAGAAGATTAAGGCAAAGCATCGGGTAAGCTTTCCATCTTGAATTCATACTGAGTGAAATTTAATGTCCCTAAGTATATCTAAATATTCATTAGCTATTCATTAATAAGTATATTATTTTCTTCATTGTTTTCTCTGACACTTCTTTTTCTGTGGCTACTCTCTTCTTTTTTCTGTTCATTTGTTCCTCTGCTGGGGGAGTCTGTATATTGACTGGTTTCTGAGAATGCCACTTAAATCTGTCTTTGGTCTGAGGTGATCTAAATAGTATTAGTGGATTTGTTGTTGTTATTACAGTTTTTATTTTGAGATAATTGTAGTTTCACTTGTAGTTGATAAGAGATATCCCAAGCTCTCCATTTCAATAATTTTGTCATTACCAGAATGTTTTATATAAAACTATGCAGTATGTAGCTTTTTGGAATTGGCTTTTTTCACTCAGCATTATTCTATGGAGATACAGCCAAGTCGTGTGCATCAATGCTTTCTTCCTTTTATTACTAAGTAGTGTCCCATGGTATGGATGTACTGAGGTTTGTTTCACCATTCAACCATTGGAAAAGACTGATGGTGTTTCCAGATTCAACTTGATAAATTTCTTTCCATATCAATTACTTGATAATATGTTAAATTTATTGTATTAAAACTGGAGACTTTGTAACACTTCTATAAAAATTAGCATGTGCCCTTGTGGCCTTGAACTTGGCAGTTTTCTGTCATCCTTGATGTAGTGGTCACACATGATATTGTTATGCCGTTATACTACTTCATTCCCTGGAAGTGAACATTTCACTAGATAAAAAATGAATTAACGAAATAAAGTAGATTTACATTTTTTAAAGAACTTTCTTTAGCACCCTTTTGACGCAGTGATTTCAAGGTAATGCAGTGAGAAACACCCGAGAAGCACTGCTATAATATTAAATTTTGTATTAAGAACAAAATACCTTTGGATGTGGACATTGTTAAGTACATTCTGAGAAGGATTCTTAGAGCTTTTCACTCCTATTTGACCTTTCATGGACCAGTACACACTTTTTTATAAAAATAGAACAGCAGTTCTCATTTCTTTATTTTAATATTTGATGTAGCTTCAGAGTAGCATTTGATGAAAAAGTAGATATTGGAGATAGCTTTAGGGATGGAAAATGAATGTTGAGAAAAACGTTCCAAAAATATGGAGAACAAATGATGAACCTGAAATATACTGGTTACAATTGTTGGATATTTATGTTAATGAGAGAACTAAACATTTCTTGCATTGCTACTCTTAGTGCAGTACTTAAATTGAAATTTGACATTATTAGCAATTTGTTAAAATCTTTACTATTAAGAGTATCAGGAGCTTGTCACGTTTCAGCTTGCAGTCTACTTATTTATCCAGGGGACAACTGAGCAAGAATGTACTGTATTTCTAAGTTGTAGCCAGCAGTAAAAGAAATATGAAGGATTTACATAAAATAAAGTTCACCCCCTTCCCCTTCCTTGCCATCTCTTTTCTCCCATGTGGAAGTTATTACTATACCAGATCACTGAATATTGTTCTGGAAACCTTTAGAAAGTTAATTTCAAATTGGCAGATTGTACTTGTTTTATACAGTGTTTGTTTGCTAGGCTCTGCCATAGGCTGTGAACATAGAATATTTAAAATATCCGGGTGCTGCTGAGTGGGTGCAGCGGTTCACACCTGTAGTTCTGGCTACTTAAGAGGCTGAGGCAGAAGGATAACTTGAGCCCAGGAACCTGAGGCTGTGTCCTATAACTGCACCTGTGAATAGCCACTCATTAATAAAAGGCAATATAGCAAGACTCTGTCTCTTTAAAAAAGAAAAATAAGAAAAAACTAACATATGTACATGGGTCCCTCCATCTTCAGGAAGATTATAATTAAGTCTTAGTTAACTGTGGACATGCTGTTACTTCACAAAAGTTGCTTGCACATCCTTTTTTTTTTTTTCATAAAATGTTTTGGCATGAGTAATCACATGACTCAAAAATCAAGATAAAAAATTGCACATTGCTGGGCGTGGTGGCTCACGCCTGTAATCCCAGCACTTTGGGAGGCCAAGGTGGGTGGATCATGAGGTCGGGAGTTCAAGACCAGCCTGACCAAGATAATGAAACCCCGTCTACTAAAAATACAAAAATTATCTGGGCATGGTGGCACACACCTCTAATCCCAGCTACTCAGGAGGCTGAGGCAGGAGAATCGCTTGAACCTGGGAGGTGGAGGTTGCAGTGAGCCAAGGTCGTGCCACTGCACTTCAGCCTGGGCAACAGGAGTGAGACTCATCTCCAAAAAAAAAAAAAAAAAAAAAAAAAAAAAAAAAATACATATATATATACACACACACACACATTGAGAATTCATGCTTCTGCCTATGTCTGTGTATCTTATTCATACCTACACCCTTATAGCTAACTACTTTTAATTTTAAACTTGTCCTTTCACTTTCCTTATGCAAATAGAAATAAGTAGGAATACGTATTTTTTTCTTTTCTTATGTGAAAGGTGTATCATACACTTTTCCATTTTCAATTAGTTTTGAGCTTGTAAATCATTTTCTTTGCATCATTATTAGAACATAGCATGTGATTTTTTAGACCGTCTCCGTGACTATCTCATAGCAAGGCTGAACAGAACAGTTTTGAGCTGACAAAGTTGTGAGAGAAATCACCTGAACTTTACATACAGCTGGTTTTGAAGTCAATACTTCTGTGACTACAAGAGTCACAGTATTTTTTTAAAAAAGTGACAACGTTCTATTTTATGTAAAATATGTGTATTCTGTACAAGACATGCCTTCCAAATAGGATTTTGAAAATCTTACCTGGAAAAAAAAGCACAAAGAAATAACTAGAATAGTTCTCTCTCTTCAACTTTAATATAAACGTTACCTGATGCTCACATGACTGATTTTGTAGTATTTTCATTGGCAAACACATACATGTATTTGTGTGTATTAAAGTAGAGAAAACTTTGCATTTGTGAGTACTGTAGCATTAGCATGTTTACTGCAATAGCATACATAAGGCACAATATAGGTACTCCCATCATTTATGCACCAAGCTGTTATGGAGTAGATTTCTACCCAGGAAATACGGAATATTTTCTTAAGTGGCACATCTTCACATTTGGGATAGTGAAGCAGTGATGTTTGGGAAGAATACTGTGCTGTATTGCGGAATAACCTGTACTTGAGTGTGGAATGACTACGTTGGTGCAGTAATTACAGTTTATACCCAGTCCAGCTTGGATTACTAGTCACTGATTGGGACTTTGCTTTCCTAATCTGAAAAATCAGGGAGTAGGAGTGGGACTTAATGCCAGATGTCAGTGAGATCTCTGGCTCCGTAGATCTAGTTAAGACGTGGGAATAAAATCATCCTTTACTGTTTGGAAAATAGAATTTTAATTTGTAATTTTTTTCTCCCTGACAAGTCAGGTTGCTTGCTTTACTTTATGAAAAGACTTTCTTCTTGCCGGACGTGGTGGCTCATGCCTGTAATCCCAGTGTTTTGGGAGGCTGAGGCGGGTGGATCATGAGGTCAGGAATCTAGACCATCCTGGCTAACACGGTGAAACACCATCTCTACTAAAAAATACAGAAAAAAAAAAAAGCCAGGCGTGGTGGCGGGCACCTGTAGTCCCAGCTAGTCAGGAGGCTGAGGCAGGAGAATGGCGTGAACCTGGTAGGTGGAGCTTGCAGTGAGCCAAGATCGCGCCACTGCACTCCCGCCTGGGTGACAGAACGAGACTCCGTCTCAAAAAAAAAAAAAAAGACTTTCTTCTTTACATATTTCCAGTAACCATTAAAACTTTAAAAACTAAATATATTATTAATCCTGCACAAATTACTGTGCTTTAATTAATTGCTTTACTTGAACATATTGTTGGTTTTTGAAGTCACATTTTTTTCCTGAGTATACTACTACTATAATAACGCTTCTTAGTTCTTTTAGTGTAGAATTTTGCCTTGGGCAAATATAATTCTATTTCCCTTTGAGGCTGTCACTCATAATTTTTACTTTTATGAAAGTATATTGAGAAGAACTATATGTCCCTAAAGAATATTGACAATACTAACAACAGGGTCTAGGGGAAGCTTTACTTCAGGAAGATAGAAGAAGGTGAAGAAACTTTTGACCCAAAGTTACGAATAAGGGTTGTACCTGAATGAATTTTGCATGTGAAAAAAACTTCACAAAACCTGTCACATGCTTCTGTATTTAATACATTTCTTTTAATGTGTATCAGTTGTAGAAGATTTTGTAAGCCTTGGCATTTTTTTTCAGTGTGTTCAAAATGTTATATTTTTGGTTTAAAGTATAGGATATTTAATATGTAAGTGAATTTAGTCTTAATGATTCTGTTTGGAAGTAGTTGTTTGCTCTTGCATTTAAAAGTTAACAGCCTTGAATCACAGCTTTGCATATGCACTCAGTGTTAGTATAGTAGGACTCAGCTACTCATTTTGTCCTACTTGTTTTTCCCTCATACTATTACACCTGTCTTTGAATCATATTTTCATCTACCAGATTCTGAAAGCTATATAATTTCTAATGATTCAAGTAAATCTTTGTTTTAAAGATTTAGAAAACTGAGTTATAAAGATTTTTTACATCTATTTTTTATTTTAAAGCTTTATGTTATTTTTAATTGACACATAATTGTATGTATGGGGTACAATGAGATGTTTCATTACAGGTATATATTGTGCAATAATCAAATTAGGCTAATTAACATAACCATCACTTCAAATATTTATCATTACTTTGTGGTGACAACATTTAAAATCCACTATTTTAGCTATTTTGAAATACACAATACATTATTGTTAACTTGGTCACTAAGCTGTGCAATAGATCACCAGAACTTATTCCTCCTGTCGGATGGAAACTTTGTACACTATAACCAACATCTTCCCTTTGCTCATCTCCCCTGCACCCCTTCCACCCAGTCCTTTGGTAACCACCACTCTACGCTCTACTTCTGTGAGCTCTTCTGAAGTCTACTTCTATGAA